GTGCTTCATCGTCATCAGCTCCTCATCAACAAAATTTAGCTGCTCAGGACGATGACGACGAGGACGACGATGATGATGGTGATGATGATGACAGCGAGGAGTCACAACCAGTGATATGAAGAAATCCTCCTCGAGACCGAGAGCCACTGCCATGCGGAACACATTCGCGTCGCAGACATCGATAGATTTTGTTTTTTTATTATATTTGTATTTAATACTTTTTATTGTAGTTGTTTATTGGACTTTTTTATTGTAATTTTTATTATTATTTATCATTTAATACTTACTTTAATTCGTTAATATGGTTGGATTTATTTTAATTTATTTTGATAAATTTGTTGGACTTTTTGTTAATTTATTTTGCTTATTTTTGTTTATTACCATTTAATATTAGTTATTGAAATTTGGTTATCATTTACCATTTAATACTTATTATATCGTTAATATAAGTTATTTGTTAATATAACACCAACGTCTAATCTCATATAATTGTATCATTTTTTTAATCTTCATCAGCGGTTATCGAATAACATTAACTTGAAGTAAATGCAAATTAAAGTACAATAATTATTAATTGATAAACAACTACATCATTTCCTCATCAATTGTTACTTGATGACAACAGAAGTGGACATGTTTTTCTAGTGTGTTCTGGGTTTCTACAATGTCCACATCTTCTGCCTTGTCTAGATCTTTCTCGAATATCCATATCGCAATGAATTTGATTGGATTTTAGACGACCACGCTCCCCCAATAAACTCAGATTTGGTACAATTGGAAGCCAATCTTGAACCTCATCAGGGTCTTTGCCTATGTGGAGAACTCAAATTCGTATACCTTAAAAACTTCAGATAGTAGGTATACGCGATCCACAAAAATGGTTATAGTCTTGACGTGTATGCGAGCAAGCTGCTATCACATGAGAGCATGGATATTTTAGAGCTTGAAAAAACCCACAGTCGCACGTTCTATCCCTTAGATTTACTCTTAACAACACAACTTCAATCCCTTGAAGAGGTCGCGGCAACTCTGTGACACGAAACATTTCATTCCTTCTAGAGAAACTTGTTACAGACATCCTATTTGATGCATCAATTTTTTATGTAGATCTGCAACTAATCTAGGGTGATACACATGATCGCCTTGCATCCAGGTTTGAGCTTGTCCCCCGAGCTTCACAAAAAGCACCCCAAACGAAAATATGTAGTCTTTACCAAAGCCGCTACAGGTAAGTGTCGTGAACCCTTTAAGGTTGAATTGATTGCCTCTACCAAGTTGGTCGTCATGTGTCCATATCATATTCACCATCATATACGTTTATCCACATTTCTTTATCGATGAGGCTGATGTAATCGTATCCTTCCTCATTCTTCACCCGCAAATCTTGAAGCATTGATTCAAAGATTCGAGGAAGTAGTTCGTAACCTGATCAAAAAATGTATAACTTACTAACATGATCAAAATGATCGAAAGAAAACAAACTACATCAGTTTCACTTACCCATGCGCACAAGTAATTGACGCTCATCATTCTTCTTGTATCTTCCATGGTAGTTCGCAGCAATGTGTCGGAGACAATACCTATGTTGGACAAAGGGTGGTTGCCACATTGGACCCAAAGAATTCATTGCTGCTTTGATCCCAGCTCTGCGACCTGAAATGACACAGATTTTTTCCCTCGTGATAACATGTGCACGTAAATTTCGGAGGAAAAAAGTCCAAGAATCTGTATCTTCTCCTTCGACAAGAGCAAAAGCAACTGGAAGAATGTTGCGATTTTCATCTTGGACAACTGCCAATAATAAAACTTGCTTGTATTTTCCATACAAGAAAGTCCCGTCGATCTGGACCACAGACTTGCAGTATTTGATAGCATTAACGCACAATGGGTAAGTCCAAAAAACCCGGTAGAATTGGCATCGATCGCGGAGAACTCGATCATTATGGTATGCATAGGAGGTTTCGAAGTCCACAATTGTCCCAGGATTCAACCTCTGCACCAGCCTGGAAGTTCGTTGTAAGATGCATCCCATTCGCCATGAAGTTTGATAATGGTATTTTGTTTTGCCAACCAAGCTTTTTTATAGGAGATAGTGTACTCATACTGCGATTGTATAGCTGAAATCAACATAACAACAACTATATGAGAGCTTGCTTTTACCATGGGCATGATGGCTTGGCATATCACTTCAGAGTCCAAGTTGGGATGATCTTGGTTGACCCCTCCAGCACAACATGTGTGAGGACCGTCGTATACTGTTAGTTCCCATCTGTTCTTTTTCCTCTTCCTCTTCGATACGCGAACCATCCAATTGTATATGTTTTCGCGTCGGACACAGTAGCATACATATTTTTCTATCGTGGAGCGGTCGACTCTCGATTGAACAAAATTAAAGATATTGTAATTTTTTATAGACATCATAGTTTCTTCTTTGCTTGAAAACTCCATGCCTAAATATAACTCACCATTATTTATTGATGAGTAATATCCATAGTCACCGAGATGAGGCATATCCGCAAATTCTGGCCCATACATTGCACCATAATCAGCTTCATACATGTGTGCTGGAGATTCAGTTTGTGCCACATTTGCTGGAACTTCATCCACATCATCATCATCACCGGAGTTGAATTGCGGTGATTCTGGGTATATAAATAGTCCAGTCTCAGCACCATCTGCACCAGGCTCACGAAGCGGTTCTTCTGGTGGAGATGATGGTTCCTCCAGGCTCTCCATATTTAGGTCGAAAAACCTACTACTTGCACGCCTTCCCCTTGAACTGGAAGACATATCGACATTCAGATCGAAAAAGCTCACAGTCGAATGCCTCCCCCTGGATCTTGAAGCCATCGTGTCAAATGGAAACTGAACAGATTGTTGCGTTGATGGCATCTCCATATTAAGGTCAAAGGGATTTGCAGATGAATGCCTTCCCCTTGAACTGGACGAGATGTTGCCATACAGATTGTTCGTCGACCCATCTCGGTACATATCGTAAGGAGTTGCGGATGAATGTCTCCCCATTATGGCATTAAAATCATTACACATTACTGTCGTCAGGCTGTCAACTTGATCAACTTGTTCAGCCAGCCCATAGTGAGAGCTTAATGATTAACCCCGAACAGCACGCACTTGAATAAAATTTGCATACATCTCAATATCGGCGTCTGAATAATTACTTTGACCTTCAACCATCATTTCAACATCATCATTGTTCAAAAGTTCGAACGCTGTATAAGTTAATGGCAACAATGATATTGGAAATCTGTACTGCAACGACGATATTCTTCTACTACTTCCAACATGAATCTTCCTCGAAATCTTTGTTATCAGCTCCTCAAGAGTTATGTTTCTCTTCAATGATATTTTAACACGCTAATTTGATGCGAAAACAACGTCGGTTTCATCTTCTCGAATTTCTCCATCATAATAAACAATAGCTGAAAGTCAAGCCATTCTTTGAGTTTAAAAGTGCGGCAATATTATATCTGGAAAAAAACAACTGAAACAATGCTGATTAAATAAATAATATATGAACGAAAATATAACACAATAAATTTTTTACACATAAACGTAAATAATTTAAATAATATAATTTTATATTATTACATGTATCACAAAACTATTTCGACGTATATTCCCGCTTTCTAATTTTACAAACACGAAAATTAATTGACAACAATTAGTATAATATTTTTTCAAATAATCATAATAAACAATAAGTATAATAAAAAAATTTATCACAAAATTACCTTATAACGAAAACTCGCACGAACTTCTGAATTAAATATGAGAAGATTGTTGGATTGTTGTATTAATTTTTTTCTAATCCAGAGGAGTTGTGAGGAGTTACCCTGGGGAAAGGGTATTTATAGTCGGGAAAAGCTACAAGACGCGGTACCTGCACCCGCCTTACATAATTATATCAGATAAAGCTAAGGCGCGGCCCCTGCCCTGCGCTATACTCCTAGGTGGCCTAAGGCGTGCCCTCGGGGCCGCGCTTTACACACGTGTATACCATGTCAGCATAAGGCGCGCTTCAGGGGGGCGCCTTACCCCACGTGGCACCAAATCAACGTAAAACGCGTTGCAGGGCCGTGCCTTTCTGCAAAGGGTGTTAAATCGGGAAATACAGTATGAACGGTGCCTGATCGAGAAATATACTGGTCAACGGTGATATATCGGGAAAATCACCGGGAACATTGGGATGTTGTTAAGCTATGAAAGGGTTTAGGTCAGAATCTATAGCCATAAATAGGTGGAAAATGAGTCATGTTCTGGTGGGTAAATGTCACTTGTCAATGGCCATACCATTATTTGCTAATTTTACTCTTTAACCTCTTTGATCCTTTTCTCTTGAAATGTAACTATCATAGCCTTTAATTATCAGGGGAAAAAATTCAAATATAAAATTACCCTTAAATTTTCGAGGGTTAATTGAGGTACATATGATTTTATGTTAGGGACGGATTTCTAAAATTTTAAGAGGATATGAATCTATAAAATTATAAGCAACGAAAAATATTCAATAGAAAATATAAAAATGATTTAAAACTTTTAAGTGGGACGACTACCCCAACCGTAACCCTCTGTCTATTTGACCCAAAAGGTACAAATGACTAATTTGATGAAACTTGCTAAATTCAAGGGGGATCAAAGCACAAATATTGAAAGTTTGGAGACCCTGAACTGAATTCTGAAAAGACAGTACGACGTCGTTTCTTACTGACCACTTCTATAAATATAATCTTAACCCTAAACCCTATTTCGTTGCCTCGCACATCATGTTTTCGCTTGAAAAAAAATATTCAAAAGGAGTTTTTTTTTTTATCAATTTAAATCCTTCAGTTCCCTTGTAACTAATATTTGATTTTGTAGATACTAACAGTGTTAAAGCATCAAATGGCTCCAAAATGCAGTTTTTGGTTTGAAATTGACTCACTGAAATTATGTTTGGTACCAGGAAAATGGGTCTCTTTTGTTCGTCTGAGTAATTGCAAAGCAAAATGATGAAAATAGTTTAAAACCCGAATTTCCCGTGTGGGAATCCCATTCCGGGTCTTCAAAGTTCTCTGATTGTTTTGCAAGATTATGTGTTTTTGTTCAATTTATAGTGTACAAAGGCGGGTTGGTTTTAATTCCATTTCTTTGTTTGGGTATGTGAAGCAAAATGAGGAATCTTTTTAATGGCTGAAATTGGTGTGGAGTTTCCGTATCATTTAATGGTCTTCAAAGTTCTCTGATTGCTTTCACAGGTTAGAATGTCTTTGTGGTATGCTTATAGCTAAAGAGTTGCTTCTTTTAACCTTTTGACCGTATCTTTTTTACATTTGGTCCATTGTAGTTTCATGTATGAGCAAAGTTTCGGGCACCAAAATTCATGTCTGATTTGTATTGCAATATTTCAGGCTATACGAGCATGGTGCGATAGAAATGTTTCTTCTTTGTGTTCGTTTAGCTGCACTTGCAAATTCCTAGTGACTGGTGCAGCAGAACTGGGAAGAACACTTGATCTCTCAAGTCATAACTTGCATCACTGAAAGTAATTTAAGTAAATGAATCGAGATTTAATGAAAAATGCTGACTTTGGGTTTGTTTGTTTATTTTTTAGGGTTTTATGTGGTGTTTGTATTCATTTGTTATTTTTTAGGATTTATGTTCGATTAATTTTTTTATATTGAAGTTTTGTTTATTTATTTATTTTTTACGATGTTTTTGTTTGGTTTGTTGAGCTTTGGTGATTATGTTTGTTTAATTGCGAATATGTTTTTTTAGGTGTCGTTTAGTTTGCTGGAATGTTTTTGAGGGAATTAGAATTTGTGAATAAATTGAAATCTGTCAGGAATTAGAATCCAATTCTATATTCTGTTTGGTTGACCAGAAATTGAATTGGAATCTACTTTTATATTTTGTTTGGTTTATAGACATGTCAGATGAATTTGATTTCAGTAGTGTAAAATGACATGATTGACCTTTTTTTTGTTGCTTAATTTTAGTTTGTTTTATAAATTACATCTAGTAATATATTATAAAATTTTTTAAAAAAATTAAATTTTAATTTTATTGATTGATTGATTATTCATTTTAATAAATTATAAAAATCATGTTAATAAACATCACAAGTTAAAATTATTTCAATTTGGGTTAGGTCGAATTTTTGGTCCACCCGATCCGACCCGAGAACAAGGAAAACTCTATCTGAGACTAGACTCGACCAAAATAAAATTTTACCCGACTCGACCCGACTCGAATATATGAATTAGAACCCGATCCGACTCGAAATAATAAAAAAATTATTTTTATTTAATAAAAACAATGACTTAATTGGAAAAAAATATATAGAAGGATATTATTGTAATTATTTCTAAATATATAAGATAAAATTATATATTTTTTGGGTCGGGTTGAGTATTTTTCACCATAAACCCAACTCGACACGATCAAAATAAAGTTTCACCTGACCTGACTCGAATATATGAATTAGAAATCCGACCGACCCGACCTGAAATAATAAAAAAATTATTTTTATTCAATAAAAAAAGTGATTTAATTAAAAAAAATTATATATAGAGGGGTATTATTGTAATTATTTCTAAATATATAAGGCAAAATTATATATATTTTCGGGTTGGGTATTTTTCACTGTAAACCCGAAATCGACCAGACTCGAATATCACACTTAAAAAAACCGATCCGACACGACCAAAATAAAGTTTCACCCGACTCGAATATATGAATTAGAAACCCGACTCGAAATAATAAAAAAATTATTCAATATATGAATAAGTTACTAAAAGATTGATGAGGGTAGTATGGTCAAATTTCAATTCCCTCCAACAAGGGAAGTGAATTCTATCATTGGAATTGAATTCCATCATAGAATGGATAGAATTCACTTTCTCTCATTTGATGGAAAGTTGAAGCTATGAAGGATTCTAATTCCCTTGGAATGAACCAAACATGGGAAAGTGGTGGAATTGGATTCCAATTTCCCCTAATTCTAATGGATTCATGCCAACCAAACGCAACTTTAGTGTTTACATGGTGAAATTACATCACTATCCTTTTAAGTTTTTTTTAGGTATAACAGTTTGAACTCTAAACTTTACTTTATGTTTTATGTAGTCTTTATTTTTATTAATATTTAAAATGTAAAAAAAGAAAGAACGAAAATGAGAATGTATAAACGAATTTTTAAATAAGTTTATTTGTGAATATAAATAAATTAAATATATATTTATTTGTATTTGTTTGTTTATTAAATAAAAAACTTTATTTGTATTCACGAATAATTAATTGAATGCTCTTTTTTATTTATAGCTGTTATGTCATTTTTGTATGCTTAAACTAAAATTTAGCATCTAAATAATATATTTTATTTACTTTAAATACTTCAATTATTTTTTGGTCAAAACAAGTCCTTAAATGTGTCTTTTTGGTCAAAATACCTTAACTATTTTTTGACCAAAATAAGTCCATAAAGTATGTCTTTTTTATTTTAAGCCCCTAAATTAGTATCTAAACTATGCCTTTTTTATTTTAAGCCTTTTTTTATGTTTAGTCAAATTGGCTTTCAATTGCAAATGTTTTGGTAAACAATTGGATAATTGATTTGTGCTCGAACAAGATTGGAAGGTTTAAGTTACACATGGAAACTATCTTGCTGCTCGAGATTAGAAATGTTACAATGATAAAAACAAGATAGCTGAAGGAAAGAATTTGAAGGCAGCACAGCTCTGATGTGATTCAGTTTCCTTTAAAGGCTGTTGGATTTGATTTGTTAACTTTTATCTGCAGGGAAAAACTACATAGGACTTGGCTTTGCGCCATTTGAAGAACCTTACTATTGAATATGACAACCATTTGTGAGGCTTAAGCAATACAACATCATGGAAATGGGTTCTGATTTTGCACAAGGTCCTACAGTATAGAAAAAAAAAAAAGAACCTTTCTTAGACCTCAAACTAAAATCCAGAGATTTGTTCATTTGTTTTGTACTTTTGAACCTGACCTCCAACAGCTTGTTGGAAAAGTTTTGCAAATTGTGACTCATTGCAAGTGAATATAACTTGGGAGCACTGGCTTCTCATTTCATTCTCGATAGCATGTCTGTCATTATCTTAAATCAAATCTCTTACAAACCTTTTTCCTGTAATCGAGCACTTTTATTGGTGACAAATTGTCTCACTAACCGGATGATGGGAAGAGGGTTCTCTAAATGAATGGCATGCCCGCAGTTGGGAACCACAACCATCTGATGGAGCTTGCTCATTGCATCGTCTCTATCATGGTCAATTTCGTGCCACATTTTCTGAGCCACCAATTTGAATTTCTCATCTTCCTCTCCAACAACGAGCATAAGAGGTGTCTTGCAATGCTTCAAGTCTTCCCATAATGACCTATGATAAAATGAAAAATGGGAAGTTAATGATGTGCATTTACAAGTTCAATCACTTTATAAACAGAACTGATGCATGGCTCTTTCATTCTTACCATGGACTTTGCATTAGAACTTTAATAAAAACATTTGCTCTCTCACTAATAAAACATGGGACTATCAACAAACTTAAAACTCTAACTAAAATGATAAACCGAAAAATAAATGAATAAATAAAAGGGCTTACGGTTGTCTTCCAGAGCTCAAGTCAGATAAAACTCTTGCAAGACCTTGCAAGTCATTGTGCAGTGATCGTCTAGAGACAATTTGATTAAAATTGGGATGTCTTCTCAAGCTGTTCAATGGATATTAGCATGGGGGCGAAGAAAAGTTCTAGGCTGCTATAAAATCACTTTTAAGAAATGCAGCAATAGAAAGATAAGAAAATCACCTCTTCCACAATCCTCCAGAATACCAAGTGTTTAGAAAGAGCTGTAAACCATGGGTCACAAGAGAACAAGCTTTCGAGTCGTCTTTAGCCCTGCGAATTTTTCTTGCGACCGCATCTTCTAAACCAGGACTTCCCGATAATATAACAGCCCCTTCAATCTGAACAGATTTGCTATCATCAATAATGCAGATACAATTATTTAGTTCAAAGACAAACAGTATCTAGCACTCCATGAATGTACCTTATCACCAAATTTCAGCGCCATGTACAAAGCAATCCTTGCTCCCATAGAATATCCAACAAGAGTAACTTTACCAGGAGTTATGTGTTCAATTAATTTAAACATCAAATTGGCCATTATCTCGATTGACAATGTTGGTTGCAGTGCAGCTTTGTCATCAGCGCGATTCTTTATCTTTGTTTCCCCATGGCCAGGCAGGTCAACTGAAATGCATCTTGCAGATTCCGAGATAGCATGCATGATAGGAACCCATTCTTCATTAGTCCCAAGAAAACCATGAAGAAATAGAATTGTACTATCCTGCATCAGTGAAGGTAAGGTGTGGTTAGCACTCGATAAGTGGGCACTGCATCACTCTACAAGCAATAGCTACACTATGTCTCAAGCATTCTTTTGTGCATCGACCACAGAGAAATGCATTCAAGAAAAAGGGACAGAGCAAAAGAAAGAACATAGATGTTATCAAGTTTCTCACATTATTTCTTTGACCAATCTCTTGTACGTTGATGGTAAAAGAGAAATCATCCGAATCCAGAGCTAGGTGATATCTTAGGACCTTTTGGCCAGTAAAGGTTCTAAGGATAAAATTGTGGTTCATTTGAAATTTATGCAGGAGATGGGTAGCATCAGCAACAGATGCTTCTATAAATCCAGTACTTGGATTGCGTTCAATGCCGAGCAGATCAGTTGTTACATCTTCTTCAAGCCAGCGAAATGTCCCAAGACCATGAGCAACAGAAGAGACTAGGTTATTATTCATCAATTTGCATGTGTCAGCATTCTGCCAATCCAGATAACAGGAAAACAATATATATGCTGACAAAGCTAGGCCACTTTCAAATGCAGCACTAATAACGGCCAGCTTTCCTTGTCTTTGTGCCCACCGTGCAATTATTGCAGCCCTTTCAAATCCACCAATTACAGTTGGTTTAATGACCTAGAAGGACAAATAAAACCAATGCAGATCAAGATCATAACCAAAAAGTCACTTCGAATTGAAAGCTCTTCATAA